GCCAGCCATCAGTGCAACGCCCTCAAAGTTTGGGTGAAGGCCGTCTGCCGCGAGGACGCGCACCGAAGGAAACCATTCCAAGGCATGGTCCAGAAAGAACACCCGGTCAGAGCGACAGCAGAAGCTCCGTAGGCGGTCGTTAAAATCACAGGCTTTGCGATTACAGTGGCGGACAATTGCTTCATTGTGCTTGCCACGACGGCGGTTTAAAGCACGGGGTAGTAATAAAGTTGCATAGATCCGGCTAATCCTGGGGCGTTTTGACAGAATGAGTTGTAGCAGGGCCTTGTACTTGTGGAACGTTACTCGTCCAGTGCTGTGAACCAAATCATTCGTTCCAACATGAAGAATCAGAGTTGTCGTTGAAGATGGCACGAAGTCCAAAAGGCCATGTACGTCACGTATCACAGCGCCAAACTGTGTGATGAACGCAGGGGTGCCCTCTCGAAGAAAAGCTTTGTTAGCGGGTAACAGTAATGTCGTAATGAGAACGAACTGATTAGAGAAGCGTTTGCGTCTTTTAGTGGTCGTAACGCTGACAGAGTGCCTGGGTGTTCATTTATCCCGTACTTTATCGTGTTAATTTTGTAGATAAAATAAGATTCCCGTTCCCGTTCTCTGATTGTTCGAAAGTTGTTTTCTAATAGTGTAACCCTGATGTCATCAAAGCTGTGGTCTTTTAATGTGCTGTGTTTAGAAAGTGGAAGGCCTGGCAGGGATCGTACATGTGGCCGATGGTTGTTGAATATATTTCTAAACGGAGTGTCTGTCTGGCCCACGTATTGTTTGCTAAATACCCCACATTCCAGGAGGTATATGACGTTGTCTGAGTCACAGTCTAGTGCACCTCTTATCCTGTGCTTAAAATCCGAGTGGGTGCTTTTCGCCATTGTCGTTGTCTTCATGTGTTTGCGTACCTTGCATCTGCTTTTTCCGCAAGGTTGACACCCAATTTGAGATTTCACGCGTATTTTTGAATTTATTAAATTGTCCTTTATACTTTTCGGCCGTCTGTATACCACACAATGAGGAGAAGTGAAAATTTTGGATAGTCGCACGCACTGTTCCAATATGTTAAAGTGTTTTCTTAGGACCTTGTTTATGTTTGGAGGGTTGCTCGTCAAAGTTAATAGCGAGTTTTTGTTGCGGTGTTGATCAGCGTTTTTCTGGTGGTTGAGAAGAGTCTGGTGGTCCAGATTTTCAGCTTTTTTGATGGCGTAATCGATGATAGCTGGCGGGTATTCTTGATTAAGAATACCCGCCAGCTATCAAGAATACCCGCTAGCTATAGGTTGCAGGTTCGGATCCTGCCCACGGCAAGTTAGCTTTTCACCCACTTTTCTTTCTTCTCATTTACATTAAATAGGCCTAAGAAATTCCCCTATACCTTCCTTGGCATTATTGTCTGTTAGCTCTCATTAATATTGTGTAAAACATGAAAAACAAGCCCTTAAGCATACACTTGTTTCCCTTATTCATTAACGAGAGTCTCGTACTGGAAGACTTGGTGCCTTTAGGTTGTATACGGGGGACTATTGCTCAGCTGCCAGTTAATAAGAAGTTCACGTGCTACGTGACGCCAAACACGCTCATAAGGCGTGTGCCACACTCGCCGCCATGGCTACTAGTGGTGCTCACTGACACTCCCACGTTTAAATTGAGATGTAGATACTCAATAAATTGGCTGTGGGCATAGCTGTCGTGGCAGGTCAATGGTAGAACATTGAACGCGTTATTCGAAGGTCGCAGGTTCGGATCCTGCCCACGGCAAGTTATCTTTTCCTCTACTTTTCTTTCTTCTCATTTACATTACGATTGGCCTAATAACTTTCCCTATACCTTCCTGGGCATTATTGTCTGTTAGATCTCATTATATTGTGTAAAACACAAAAACGAGCCCTGAAGAATACACTTGTTTCCCTTATATATATATATATATATATATATATATATATATATATATATATATATATATATATATATATATATATATATATATATATATATATAATAATGAGATCTAATAGACAATAATGTCAAGGAATGTATAGGGGAAGTTATTAAAGCAAATGTAATGTAAATAAGAAGAAAGGAAAGGGGGTGAAAAAATAACCAGCTGTGAGCAGGATATATATAAATATACATACATTATATATATATATATATATATATATATATATATATATATATATATATATATATTATGTTTTTGAAACTGAAATCCATCAGACAATAATGCCAAGGACAGTGTCATCATCATCATCAGCCTGACTACGTCCACTGCGGGACAAAGGCCTCTCCCATGTTCCGCCAGTTAACCTGGTCCTGTGCTTGCTGCTGCCAATTTATACCCGCAAACTTCTTAATCTCATCTGCCCACCTAACCTTCTTTCGCCCCCTAACCCACTTGCCTTCTCTGGGAAATCAGTTAGTCACCCTCAACGACCAGCGGTTATCCTGTCTACGCGCTACATGCCCGGCCCATGTCCATTTCTTCTTCTTGATTTCAGCTATGATATCCTTAACCCCCGTCAGTTCCCTAATCCACTCTGCTCACTTCTTGTCTCTTAAGGTTACACCTACCATTTTTCTTTCCATTGCTCGCTGCGTCGTCCTTAATTTAAGCTGAACCCTCTTTGTAAGCCCCCAGGTTTCTGCTCTTAGCGAAGTACCGGCAAGATACAGCTGTTATAGACCTTCCTCTTGAGGGATAGTGGCAATCTACCTGTTATATTTTAAGAGTGCTTGCCAAAGGTGCTCCACCCCTTTCTTATTCTTCTGGTTACTTCACTCTCGTGGTTCGGTTCCACGATTATTACCTGCCTTAAGTAGACATAGCCTTTTACACCTTGAAGTGCACTATTACCTATCTCGAAGTGCTGCTCTTTTCCGAGGTTGTTGTACATCACTTTTGTTTTCCGCTGATTCATTTTAAGGCCCACCTTTCTGCTCTCCTTGTCTAACTACGTAATCATGAGTTGCAGTTCATCCCCTGAGTTACTCAGCAATGCAATGTCATCGGCGAAACGCAGGTTCCTAAGGTACTCTCCAATAACTCTTATACCTAACTGCTCCCATTCTAGGCTTCTGAAAACCTCCTGTAAGTACGCGGTAAATAGCATTGGGGAGATTGTGTTCCCCTGCCTTACACCCTTCTTGATGAGTATTCTGTTGCTTTCTTTATGAAGCACTATAGTAGCAGTTGATCCCCTGTAGATTTCTACCAGGATGTTTATATATACTTCATCGACGCCCTGATTCCGCAGTGTCTGCATGACGGCTGATATTTCTACTGAATCAAACGCCTTCTCGTAATCTATGAAGGCTATGTATAATGGTTGGTTATATTCTTAGGACCTTGTTTAAGTTTGGTGAGTTGCTCGTGACTATAAATCAGGTAATTTCTGTATTACCTGATTGATAGTATGAATGTGGTCGATCGTTGAGTAGCCTGTTCGAAATCCTGCTTGTTCCATTGGTTGATTGAATTCTAATGTTTTCTTTACTCTGTTAGCAATTACCTTTGTGGATAGCTTATATACTACAGAGAGGAAGCTAATCGGCCTGTAATTCTTCAAATCCTTGTCATCTCCTTTCTTCTGTATTAAGATGATGTTAGCGTTCTTCCAAGACTCTGGTACCCTTCCCGTCAGGAGGCACCTCGTAAACAGAGTGGCTAGTTTTTCTAACACACTCTGTCCTCCATCTTTCAGCAGATCTGATGTTACCTGATCCACACCAGCAGTTTTGCCTCTTTGCATGCTCTCCTACACTTTTCTAACTTCTTCTATCATTACTGGTGGGGCGTCATCTGGGTTACTGCTAGTTCTTATTGTATTAAAGTCGTGGTTGTCCCGGCTATTGTACAGATCTCTGTAAAACACCCCCGCTATTTTAACTATCCTATCCATATTTGTAATTATTTTGACTTCTTTGTCCCTTAGTGCATACATCCGATTTTGTATAGGACAGTATAGGGGAGGTTATTAGACCGAATTTTAAGGTAAATGTGAATAAAGAAAAGTGGGTGAACCGAGATAACTGAAAAGCTAACTTGTCGGTTCCTGCCCATGGCAAATTATCTTATCACGGCCGACTGGCTGGCTGTATCTCGCCGTGTTCATTGATTACTCAGCTCATAGAAGCACTAGATTGATTGCCTGTTCCTTGAACCACTACGAAGAATGTCACTAACGAGCGCTCACATATGATTCTTGTTTTTCTTATTCTACACCTGGCTTGCACGTGCTCCTTTCAAAAGCACGAAGTCAATGTCACCGACACCACTGCCACGATTTTGCTATACGCTTGCGAAGCGTCTCATCAAAAAGGCATAAAAACAGTCGTCCGCATTACTACGTTTCAAATTACACGTGTTGGTTCGGAAGGTTATCTTCTTCCTAAACGACGGCGAAGCTAGCACGCGCTAGAAAACATCCGCGCGCGACGCACTCGTTTTCGCTCGTTCGAACAAACGTTCTTCAGCACGCGCTCTCAGCATCACCAACTGAAACGTGATCGCTGTGGACGGGAAAGTCTTGAGACACAAACAGCGTCGTCTGCATACAGGCGAACGCCGGGAATCACAGTAAGTGACCTACGTCGAAATAGTTCGACCCTTAACGCCATGCCTGTATCGAGTCGTCGGCAAAGACGCCACGTTAAGTGCCAGGAAGCGAGCCGCTTCGACGGGCTCCTGCGGGACTCCCAGAGGCACACCGCCGTTCTCCGGGCAACGTTCAGAGTGACCCGAGACCCAATCGGACATTACCGAAGATTTGTTACCCGACACCTGCAGGGCCTTAGCCCCATCGGACCTCATTCGCCTCTTGCGCGCCCAGACGGTGTCTAAGCCAGGCGTGATGACGCACGTCACCAACGGGTACGTCATCCAGCAGTCATTGCAACCTTTGTCAACTACGACCGCAGCAACGACGTCCAGTGTCGCGGAGACACAGCGTTACTATCACGTCAGCAGCACGGACGCACCACCGTCGACAATGCCGGGCCCGGGGACGGACCCCGGTACGTCTGGATTCATAACGCAGGATGTGACCGCTAAGCGCGAACATCCGCAGTCCCTGGATTCGTCTTCCGTCGAGACGCCTGGCACAGCCGAGTCCTTTCCGGGTGCTGCAACGTTCACCGAGCAATTGGGGCGCAGAAGGACGATTCCGCCACTGGTCTGCAAGAAAACTGAAAAAGGCCTCAAGACGACTACGAGAAAGGCCACCTCCTCTGTCCCAGGCGTCGATGCCACCTCCAAGTCTGAACTCGTCAATGGGACGCCACCAGAAGTCCCACCGATGTTTCCCCGGGGCTCAGTAGCTTCGCAGGCATCTCCTCCACTGCTAGCTACACCCCGGCAGCGTCAGCAGGAACCTGCGTATCCACTGCAGAATTGGGCTAACTCGCCGGAAAACTGGACGGTGGATGGTACAGCAGAGTACGTTTCCGGGATCCCTGCGTACGAGCGCATTGCTGAGAAGTTCCGCCACCACGAGATCCATGGCGGCGCGTTGTTCCTCATCAAGGAACACCGCCTCATTAGGACGATGGACATGAAAGTGGAACCGGCATTGAAGATGTGTGCCACTATAGGTACACTTCGCGAGGTGTTGTCCTAAAACAAACTTGTGGCACATGTCTGAAAAAAATTTTAAAAAAAGATGTTCTAGCTGTTTAAACCACTGTTCACTGCGGCATGATGGTAAGTAACGCAAAAAAAAAGAAAGAACGTGATGTGTTACGGGAATGTACTCTTTGCGCTGCTTTCCATCATGTGAAGGCCCCAAATTCAGATAACATCTGTTTAACATTAACACCGATTGTGTTAAAAAAAAACGATAGCAGTAGTCATCCATCTCACGCTTTTTCGCCATTGAATGACGTCGGCAAGGCGAGTTGAGTTGCGTCACGCAAAATTACAAGTGACTTGTTTTGTCTATTGGTGCTACCGAAGAACGAAACTTCTTAATTCTGCGTATTGAAATGGTTTGTCCATCTGTTGACTCTAAATTAAAAATGTCTGGTCTGTGGCACTCCGTTTTCTGTAGATTGTCATGCACTGGTGATAGTGAATCAACGATAGCAGTAATGCAGCAAAAAACGGCCTGCGTTACGAAAGATCCCCGTTCATGAACACTGTCAATGGTTAATTTCTATAATAAAAGATACAAGTTATTCTGGTATAATAATCGATTGATTCGAAGGTAATCTGTTGAAGCAATACCTCTTTGCAGACTAGTAGGTTCGTACTTGAAAACTCGAAACTCAACTTGCTGCGCAAGTTGAAGGAAAAACCTGTCTTCCTTCTCGTTTTTCCTTCATGTTGCGCACCAAGGCGAGTTTTCAGCATAAGTAATCATTCTTAAGGGCTTCGACATCAAGCCCTTGCAAGCACCGCTACAGAAATGTGGCCGAGCGCATCATATTTAATATGCGACGGAGCAATCGGCGTCTGTAAAATTGATGCAGGGTTCAAAACCACCTCAGTCACGCTTAACCATAAAAACCAACGAGAAAAATTGAAACGCGCAAATTTCACTTGCCGTATCAGTACAACTTACACACGCTGCACCTCTGCTCTTCTCCACCTCGCATGAGCTCATAAAACGTCGCGTCTGCATCGTGTTTCAGCATTCGGTCCACGAGCGAAAATGTATAATTGAGAAACCGCCCCAATCAATCAATCAATCAATCATCTAAATGCAGAAAACGGTATGCACGCGAACTACTTCATCTCCGCTTCGAGCCACAAAATCGATAACCCAAAATTATGCCTAGCCAAAATAAGACAACGAGTACCTACATCGAGAACCTAAAATGAAAATCTTGACTAGCAATGACATCATCAGCAGTAAGTCATTCATTCGGGCAACGCCTCCTAAAAAATTATCCTGGAACGTGAGCCGCAAACGTGCTGCCCTACCCTCTGAATTCACCCTCTTCCTTCGGTACGAAGGCGAGCGTCTCCGACGGCCGCCCCCTGAGAACAAAGCCATGCTCTCACAGTCAGCAGCCGTGATGTCACGTGACTGAGCGGTACGCAGACGAGCGGTCTCACGCGGCGGCCGGTCGCAACACAAGGCGCAGGAGGCATGACCTCCGAGATTGCCTTCTGCCAGGAGGCTCCCAATTGAAAAGAGAGCGACGTTCTAGGCATAGATTTTCTAGGAGGCGGTGATTTGAGTCACGTTATTTCTGTTTCATTTTGCTGCCGTGAGATGCCGTGAGCGCGCGTTTGATGTCGAGCTGACCGTTAACAAAGGGCGCGTGCTCAGTGTTGAAGCACAGTTCACAGTGACGCGCATTGTTGGAGACAGGACGATGACGATGAGCAACGCTCCGAAACGTGGAAGACCGACGCGACGCCGGGGGACCGGCAAGACGAAAGGCACGGCGTGCTGCGGCGGCCGACAGCATCATGGTGCGTCTTCCCGAAAACGCGCCAAGCACTGGCTAGAGACCACGGAGCTAACGTCACTACCTCCGCCGGCTACAAGCGCGCCAGAACCACTGTTCGCCCGCGTACCAAGAACGGTGCACCAAACCGGACGTCACAACGCACGTTATCTGTGGGCACGTCGTGGAGGAGCCGTCCGAATTGAGAGCCCAACCCTATGCAGAGCCGGGACCAAGTGCAGTCGACGCCAGTCCTCCACAGGAGCTCTCACTCGTCAACCGATTCGCAGGCACCGCCTGACAGCCGCAAGGCGACGCCGTTGTGGATACCCGGCGTCAAAGGTACCCGTCGTCACGAAGCTGTGACTATGACCGCTACGTCAACCGTTGCAGCTAAGCCTACTTCTATACTGAGTAAGACGCCGCCTCCGCCCCTCCTGTCACCGGGCGTTGTTAGTAGCGTGGCAAGCCCCGGCTTCCACCGTGATTTGCGTCAGCGGAGGAGACCAGCCCACCACCGCTTCTCAGCGGAACTATGATCAGAACCGCGGCATCCCAACAATGAACCCGGACAACCAAGTGGCCAACGCGTCTTCGCCCACCGCATCCGAAGCTTCAGCCCCAGACTACGCGCTCATGAGAGAAGAGGGCGATGCATTGGTGGCTCCTGCGCCCTACCCACCATCCCGGCGTCCGTACGCGGGCGAGCGTGCTTTCGCGGACGGCACCCGCACGCGTAGGAGTCTGCGTGAAATCGCATCGCAGGTCTCGCCGCCTGGACCGAGTATGCTTGCACAGGCTCCTACGGAGAAATCAGCCGAGGAGTGGATGGTAGAAGACGTGGTAAGGTACGTCAAGAGGATCCCCGGATGCTTCTTACGCGCCGAGAAGTTTTGCAAAGGGGAAGTCGAATTAAACACCTGATATTCTATGTGGGCCTCCCCCTTGGTCCGGCAGTGAAAATGTTACGCGCAACACGTGAATTGCGCATGCGCCAGCGCCCGAATGGGGACGTTCAGCATTTCGTCTTAGACCGTTGGTATTTCTTTCCCTTTTTTTTGACAGAAGTGTTTTCTTTTTTTTGATGTTTTTAATTGAGTGAGTTTTTGTGTTTTTACGTCTATTTTTCCACTGTTGCACGTGTCTTTTGACCCGTGCAACAGTGCTGCACATAAACTGCTCCGGCAATTGTAACCCTGAGATCTACGATATCTTGTGTAAAAATTGGGGTACCAACAGGTTTGTGTTTAGTAAACGTTTTTAATACATTTTTATGAGTTTTTTCTCTCTCTGAAACTTGCGGAATGCAAAGGCCACAGGAGCATTGTGTGAATTAGGTGACCTAAAGACCAATTATCAGGTTCGACAATAATTTTGAGCTGTCAAGTGCAATGCGAAGATAGGGCGTACAAAATCACGCCTGCCAAAAGTTAGAATGCTGCGCGCCGCGAAAATAGGTCAAATTTCAAGATGTACGCCACTTCATTTCGCGGGCGCGCGCCCAGATAATGGGGCCATGAGGTGAACGTGTGAATGGACGTATACGGCAGTGCGGTGACGTTGGTCCTATACGTAGACGACTGTGCTTTGACGTTGCCAACAACGGCACGTCAGAGAATACATACCAGGACACGTGACATGGCAAAAATTAACACGATATGCGCAGTTTATGTAGTTTATTGCTTGAAGAGAATAACAAAACTTGATACAAATAATGGGACGCAATAAGGTAATGTGCGCGTCTTTTTTTCCGTGAATTGAAACGAGATGCGAGGCTAATATGCCGGCATTTCGCATGCGTTTCCGTCCCCGCGGTCAGCGCATCGAGCAGACGACAGAAGCGAAGGTAACGCTCCTACGCGTTCGAGCACACACTGTGCTCACCTATTCTACAGCGTCTTCCAAACCATCCCGCAAAAACAGGCAGAAGACCACAAATTAACGCTGGTAAGCAAAAAAGAAAGAAGAAAATGACCCCGTATCTGCATTTTAATCTGCAAATGTCGTCGAAGGACGATAGTCTTGCTTCTGGAGAGAGTGAACAGAACGTTTATTTGATGTTCTGCGCAAGAAAATCGGTGAATGGTATTCTGAATGCGCTGCGTTAGTGCCTCGAGCATGCAGCGGAAGCGAACGAGCGCATTAAGTCACGCCACACGTGAGACATGAGCGCTATCTGGCAGTTATATTGGAAAACGAAGCGCGTGACTCTGAGACAGGTGTGCACGCCCATGTGAGAACTCAGATGTGATGAGGTGTAGAAAGCAAGGCGACGGGTAGGTGCCACCACCGTGTCTTCTTAGAAAAGCGTTGGAAATACTTGCTATTTCGTAGAAGCGTTGCATGGTCAGCGCAGCGTTATAAGCACTATACGGTCCTTATAATCACTTACGTATGCACTTTGTAGTAAGAGACGCACATACAGTATATATGCGTGTTGTTATGATGCCTCAGATATGCGCATTAATTGCTTTTTAATTGACAATCGCACATGTACGACCGCTGAGTCTTGAGAAATATTGGTGGGCGCTGCGAATCGGGTCGGCTGTTAGAGGTATGGGCTTGTGTCGATTAGAGTATCCGCTACTGTTAAGGATGAACAAGCAAACAGACAGACAGATCAAAATGGGTGCGTCGAATGTTAAAAAAACTAGTAACTTGAAACAACGTCACTCGCATGCTCGGTGGCTGTGCTTGTTCGTGCACGGCATTCGCACGTGATCTCTTTGTCGGGTGCCAGAGAGGGTAGGGAAGAAATTTGGGTTGCGAAAGCTACGCGGAGCAGCGGAGAGGGTTTCGAGCTCGCCTCCTCTCATCCTTGTTTCGCGCCGCTTCAAAAGAACTGTTTTCTCAGCTCCTAATGAACCAATTGAAATACTTTTTGTGGCATAATGCTCCTCATCGGACATACAACAATTTCCATGGTCTAACTGAAATCTGTTATGGGGCCTGGTGAGTGGCCCTTTAACATGACTGTGATTACTAAGCATGTGGGACGTTACAATTATTGGAAAGGTTATTGAAGTATCAATCCAACTTGATTGGAGACTCTTGTATTAGCACATGCGCCATTCATTCGCGTGAGCATGCCATGGACCCCACTTGTCAGTGCATGAGCAAATGTGAACGCTTTGATATAGGGTAGTGCCTTAAAAACAAGCACAGTGTTTTTAATAGAACGCCTAAGTTCCGAAGCATTCGTGGCATTTAGAGATAATCAGAC